TGCCAGATAGGCAATCCTTCAGAGGTCCCTGCCACAGGCTTGCCTCACCTATATGTCCCGAAGACTATGTCGCTCACCCTTCCCACAGCTGCAGCTGCCTTGCACAGCTAGGCATGCCAGGACTTCATGGACTAGTCTCTTACTGGGGAAACATTACAATGGAATTTACACTTCCAGAGCTTTCAAGAACCCAGCCATGGTGGGTATGCTGCTAGGACACTGCACTGCAGATTGGACCACATAGGAGGCCCGGGTTCAATTCCTGCTCCAAGTGAAAGATGGTATGTGCCTATAATTCCAGAATCAGGGAGGCTGAGTCAGGAAGGCCCTCAGCTGGAGGCTGCCTGGCAACTCCCTGCTGGCTGGGTGTGGGGGCAGGTGCCAGCAGTGCCCATTTTACATAACGTCACGGTACACCGTCAAGCTGGGAGGCTTAGGCAGGAGGACTGCAAAAGTGAGAATATCTGAGAAAAGCTGAGAAGATGACCTGACATATGACCACGTCTCGGAGCCACTGGTTTTGCTTGCCCAAAGCACATGAGGGAAAGCAAAAAGCTACTTTACTCATTTTTAGCAAATATCCAAACTAACTGAAAAGAGGAGGGTGTTCCCAAAGTAGAAATACAAAGTTACACTGAAGATGTCTGCCAGTTCTAGTTCTGAATTCCAACAGAACAAGGAGAATTGTATGATCCAGATTCTTCAGTGAAAGACTCCCTAATACCAGTTAGGCTTAACCTGAAGGCACTAGCTCTTACAACCCTAGCACTAGTTCTAGCAAACGTTACACTGACCTTAAATTAAGGCTCTTGATGACATTTAACTACAAGTCAATTGAAATAATTCCAGTACAGCCAAGTGTAAAAACCAAGGACCCAGAAAGACCACATGGGGCACTGGGAGGCTGGATGGCCTGGAGCGTGCCTCACTCCAATGGGGCCGATGGGGCCTCTCACTCAGCGATGGGGGCCAGGGCGAGTGTGCGAGGTGCTGTCTTTCCAAGCCAGGGAATCTCCACTGGTTCAAGAGAGTAATCATTTCTAAGTGCTTGCTAGAGTTTTGAAGACCAAATGAAATAGTTTCTGTGAATAGGTTTTATAAAGTGGAACATTATGTAACTGTCATGGCACACTGTATCTTGTAACATATTACAGCCAAAAAGGATCCAGTAAAGCTCATTCGATTCCATCACCATGCCAGATAGTACATCTATGTCACCAATTCCAAAACTGAGCAACCTATGAGCATAGGCTGCTTGACAGAGCGGGAAAAGACTCTCTGTACAGCACTAGAGAGAAAAATGAAGGTTTCTGTCTCAGTGTCTGCGGGACCAAACATACAACTAGCACACAAGGAAGAACAGTAACAGCATTTTTCTTTTATTTATAGGAACTACACCTAGAACATAACCAAATCGAGGAAATAACTGAGATCTGTTTCAATCACACGAGAAAGATCACTGTGGTCGTTCTGCGTCACAACAAGATAGAGGAGAGTAGGATTGCTCCTCTGGCGTGGATACACCAGGAGTAAGTCGTGCCACACTCACCTTTCTGAGACTGTTTTCCCTTTTACAGAGGATGGAAAGTTGGGAATGGGATGAGCAAGGGTGGTGACTGTCCCTCCCTCCAAAAATAAGACTCCTTTCTCAGGAGTCCTGCCCCACCCCCCTAGAGTGTCCCACCCTCTGCCTCAGGGACACCCCTGTGGGACAGCACTGAGCTCACCGGGCCCTCAGGTCTGACCACAGTGGTAGATGACCCCCAGCTCTGCTACCTCACAGGTCATCAGAGGTGTGAGTTAAGTCCCTGCACAGGGTGGGGAGGAGATGGGCCGATCCCCCCTCACCAGGCTCACGAGCCCAGGCCTGTCCTCTAACACTGCTCTGCCATTTTTTCTGCAAACTTTTTCTTCCTCGTGAGTACTGCAAAATGACTGAAAAACGCTTGGCCAGCTGAGGAGGCAGAGAGCAGACTGCCTTCCTGGACAGGACTCAGTGACGGGAGTGACCCCAGTGGCACAGCCCACCCCATCCGGCCCGTGTGTCCTGGATGACATACTTGAGCAGCATGGCCTGGGATGTGTCTCGCTTGAAGTAGAGTGGAGAGGGCTGAAAAGGCCTTTTGGTGCCCACTGGGGACAGCTGCATGTGAGACAAGAGGGTGCCCGAGTCTTCAGGTGACAGACAGGCAGGGTGGGGCAGGAGCTTCAGGTGAGGACACCACAGTCTCAGATCTTTGCGCCACTTAACAAGATTTTCGAGATCCCTCAGTCTTACTCCAATCCCGAGGTGTGCCAGGTCATCAAACCAAATGTGGAACCCAATAGGGGGGTGGTGAAGTGGGGAGGAGGAACAAACAGCAAAGTAAAAATCCGAATCCCGAAAACCAGAACTCCAAACAATTTTCTGCAGGAACCAGGAACGACTTTAGGGGGAGGTGGTTTGATGAAGCTGGCGCTCCCAGACTTCACTTCTGGCATAACAGTTTGGCCCCAGAGTAGGGGCTGGCGGCCAGCTCCATGGCGAGCTGGCATTGCAGTGATGACTGCAAATCTGGTGCTTGTAGGACAAGTGAGAAGCACCAGGATGGGACTTGCCAAGACCTAGAGCAGGCTTTGATGGTCACTGCCCTGACGCTCCCCACCCCACTCGCATTTCTTTCACTGCAGACATCTCGAGTCCATAGATCTCTCCTACAACAAGCTCTACCACGTCCCCTCCTACCTGCCCAAGGCCCTGCTGCACCTCGTGCTTGTGGGCAACCAGATCGAACGGATCCCTGGCTACGTGTTCGGCCACATGGAGCCAGGCCTGGAGTACTTGTACCTGTCATTTAACAAACTCTCTGATGACGGCGTGGACCTCGTCTCTTTCTATGGGGCGTATCATTCTCTGAGGGAGTTATTTCTGGATCACAATGACCTAAAATCTATACCACCGGGCATAGAAGAAATGAAAGCACTACACTTTTTGAGACTGAACAACAATAAGATAAGGTAACTTCTGGCTTTTTCAAGTATCAGTTTAAATTGTGGTTGACAAAATATGTAATTAAAACAACCAACCATGACATGATCCTGAGATTTACTCCAAAGAAAAAAAGTGCCAAAGAGTCAGATTAAACAAGACTGACAAATGCCAATAGTTGTTGGAGCTGGGTGATAAGTACATGAGGGTTTTATTACGTGTTTGCAAATTCCCACAGTAAAACTATTTTGATATAGAATATTATCATATGCTACCTAGAACCTTACAGACAGTTTCAGATAAGGTAATAAAAAGACCACGCTGAAGAGTTCCCACATAAGGAATTATTTTATTTTTTTGGAGAGGTTTTTGCTACAGGGTGTGTGCGCTTGCCAGAAAGTGAGAAATCACTCCCCACGGGGGATGGCCACGCCGCAATCCCTTCTCCTCCAATCTCCTTTCGGGATCTTGGGCATGCACGCACATGTGCCCGGTGTGAGTTTAAGCCACCAGGTCCAGGACTCGAACCACGGTCGACTACATGGGAGTCCAGCAACATAGCCATTATGCTAACTGCTGGTCCTCCCACATAAGGAATTATTAAAAGAAATATGCTATTACTCCCTCCTCGTGTAATTAAAATAACCTCATCTGCAGAGCACAAAACCTATGCTATGCTAAAATTAGGACTGCTTCTATCTAGATTTTTCGGAGGGCAAAATTCTGAATCCATAAGTTATGAATACATTTTCTGAGACTCAAGGTTTCTCACTTTTGGGGACAACTTTTTCTATATGTGGTGTCTAGCCCACTTGACAGCACACAGATCCTGGGATCTCACCTGGTCACTGCCACTGCAGTCGCCCTCCCTGGCAGTGAGGGGGCAGGGACTGAGCTCTGCTGTTCTTTGCTGGGATTATGCTCCTTACTCTCTCCTCATTTCTAAATCTCCAAACAAACTAGACACCTAAAAAAATCAGAGAAATCATCAGGTTTTGAAAGCACTGGGGGGAGAAGAAGGAGTGAGAAAGGTTTTATAAAATTCAAACGATTTTGGCAAAAATACTTCATGTGTCACTCTATATGCTTCATAGAGTCAGATCAGAAGGCACAGAATTTCTGTCCAGCTTCTAACAATGCCAAAATTTACCAGTGGATTTCATGTTCACAGCCTGCTACCTCCATTATAAATGCTCAACTCCATCACTGGACCTATGGTTTCACCTACAGATGATTATTGCTTGAATTATTATTTCATCGGGGGTAACAAAATAATGAATTTCTATTTTTGTCATCTTTGCTTTCTCTCTCTATTTTTTTTTTTTTTGGAGAGGTTTTTTGCTATAGAGTGTGTGTGCTCGCCAGAAAGACGGAGAGATACGGAGAGATAGAAAGTGAGAAATCATCTCCTGGGGGGAGGTCCACGCCACAATCCCTTCTCCTCCATTCATCCTCTTAGGATCTTAGGCACACATACACATGCGCCTGGCATGAGTTTTAGCCACCAGGTCTGAGATTCGAACCGTGGTTGACTACATGGGAGTCCAGTGACATAGCCATTACGCCAAGTGCTGGTCCCTTGTCATCTTTTCATGCTTACTAGGTGGCATTCCTCTGTAAAGAACTTAGCTCATCAACTAGGGCTGCTCTTGTTTTCTGAAGGAAAAATGCTCGGCCCCTCCCTTGAAACTGCCCATCAGAGAAAATGGTACCTAAACATTCTTGCACTAACACTTTGCTTTGGCATTTTCTCTCTACCTGAAGAGATGTGTGGTATGCCTTGATATATTCCTATTTTTTGGACTGGTTGCAGTCATTATTCTTAAATGCCAACTTCTGGCCAGTAGCAGCCCTTTGGTAACTGGCACCAGTATCCTGGGACTGCTCACTTGCTCCTCTCCAAAAAAAAAAAAAGAAAGAAAGAAAGAAAAGATGACAAAAACAGAAATCCATTATTTTGTTACCCCTAATGAAATAATAATTCAAGCTTTTGGGTCCACGCAGTCCCCAGGCTCACTCTGCACTCCCTCCTGCCCTTCTACCAATGGTGCTGCTCTCTTTGGGGAAAAGGACTTAGAAGCCCCACGTGGACACCCGGACGAGCTCCTCTCAGTTGTTCTGCTGCTTCAGTTGCTGGTCTTTCAGTGAACTGCCCAGAAGTTTCCATCTTTTGAAAAGAAAAAATAGGAGTTCATGCTGACCTTCCAAATTCAGATTTAACACTGTATTTATTTAATTCCTTTTGTTCAAAACTTTTTTTTTTCATACACTAAAAATCTATGTTCCCAACAAATTAACTTACTTTTATTATGTTATAATATAGAAAAGCTTCAAAACGACACCATTATTAGTACTACTAACAAAAGCTTTAAATTAAGGGACCAGCAGCTAGCGTAATGGCTATGTTGCTGGACTCCCATGTAGTCGACCACGGTTCGCATCCTGGACCCGGTGGCTTAAACTCACACTGGGTGCGTGTGTGTGCGTGCCCAAGATCCCAAGAGGAGAATGGAGGAGAAGGGATTGCGGCATGGCCATCCCCCCTGGGGGGGTGATTTCCTGCTTTCTGTCTCTCTGTCTCTGTCTGTCTGGCGAGAGCACGCGCCCTATAGCAAAAACCTCTCCAAAAAAAAAAAAAAAGCTTTAAATTAAGTGTGCAATTATTTGATAGCTCTATTTGTCTTTAGAATATGTTCGACTAAGAATATATACATATATATATATATACACACACACAATAGATATCTGAACTCCTCTGTAGCAATGTCAACAACTTAATATTCAGGTAAAGTTGTTAGGCTTTTTTTTTTTTAGGAACTATTTATTCTTTTAAAATTAATATATTTGACTATGTAAAATATTTATATAATTCCAAAGTCAAAACTGTATAACAAAGTGTAGTAGAGAAGTCTTGCTTTTATGCTTGTCCTTTATACCCTATCTCATTTATCTACACAGTTAAATTTTTTATTAATTTATGCTTTATCATTCTAGTATTTATATTTTGCAATATATATTAATATATGCACTAATATATATAATATATAGTCTCCTACAATTATATATAATATATATATGCACTAATATATATATGTGTGTGTGTGTGTATATATATATATTATATATAATATATAGTCTCCTACAATTATAGAAATTTTTATACAAAAGGAGGATTTTCCTCTGCACATATATGTATGGTATATAATTTTCCTACTCTTTGCTTTTTAAAATGATCACTATAATACATATGCCACTGCATATCAGTATATAATTTCCTCTTTCCTTTTTATAATGGATCAGTATTCTATTATGTCAATGTGCCGTATTTTATTCCATTAGTTCCTTATTTCATGGTTTCCATTCTTTTATCACTACAGATAATGCCACAGTGCATAGCTAAGTGCAAATGTCTTTGTATTTTTTAGTTTCACTTTGGGATGGATTCATAGATGCAGGATTGCTGGCTGAAAATACTTATGTAATTTTGCTAGATAGTGCCAAATTCCTTTCCATTAGGGTCACGCCATTTTGCATTCCTTTTGAAGATCCTCCCAGACTCACCATCAGAATGTGTAGATGGACTTCTGAATATTTCTGGCAAATCTAACAAATGAGATTTTGTATGCTAATAAGGTGTCAATTTGTGAGTTTTAATGATGAATGAAATAAGTATATTTTCATGTTTATGCATCATCTTCATTTATGCTCCTTTAAACGGATAATCCAGGTATTTTTATCTTTCTTTCTCATTTCCATTTTCCTCCTATATTTTTTGGAGGTCTTTATATATAACCCCTTTTCTGTGACTGAAATGTCACAGAATGACACAAATGATAATGTCATTTACATTTTTAAAAATTTTACTGCAAGAGAATTTGTGCACGAGAGAGACATAGAGAAAGTACCCTCCAAGGGTGCCTGGCCACGTTGCAATCCCCATTTCCCATTCCTCCAGCTGTCCTGTGAGGATGTGGGGGACACACGCACAGGTCCAGAGTGTTTCCCAGCTGCCAGGGCTGGAATTAGAACTGTGGTTGGCCATGCAAGACCACCACACACTATGGGGCTGTCCCTGTCACATGTCTTTGAACTCTCACTTAAAAAAAAAAGATCTGCAGTCAATTTATTAATCTTTTCTTTTAGTGCTTCTGCTTTTTGAATCACAAATTCCCCACTCTCTATCACGCCATTTTGCATTCCTTTTGAAGATCCTCCCAGACTCACCATCAGAATGTGTAGATGGACTTCTGAATATTTCTGGCAAATCTAACAAATGAGATTTTGTATGCTAATAAGGTGTCAATTTGTGAGTTTTAATGATGAATGAAATAAGTATATTTTCATGTTTATGCATCATCTTCATTTATGCTCCTTTAAACGGATAATCCAGGTATTTTTATCTTTCTTTCTCATTTCCATTTTCCTCCTATATTTTTTGGAGGTCTTTATATATAACCCCTTTTCTGTGACTGAAATGTCACAGAATGACACAAATGATAATGTCATTTACATTTTTAAAAATTTTACTGCAAGAGAATTTGTGCACGAGAGAGACATAGAGAAAGTACCCTCCAAGGGTGCCTGGCCACGTTGCAATCCCCATTTCCCATTCCTCCAGCTGTCCTGTGAGGATGTGGGGGACACACGCACAGGTCCAGAGTGTTTCCCAGCTGCCAGGGCTGGAATTAGAACTGTGGTTGGCCATGCAAGACCACCACACACTATGGGGCTGTCCCTGTCACATGTCTTTGAACTCTCACTTAAAAAAAAAAGATCTGCAGTCAATTTATTAATCTTTTCTTTTAGTGCTTCTGCTTTTTGAATCACAAATTCCCCACTCTCTAGATGAGACAATGTGCTAGCTTTTTTTTTTTTCATATTTAGATCTTTTAAAAATTTATTAAAAAAATTGTTTTCTTTATTCTTCACACAGGATGTGCGAGAAAGTGAGTGAATGAGACAGAGTGGGAGCGGGAGAGGGAGAGGGGGAGAGAGAGAGAGAAGCATTCCCCACAGGGGCTGGCCGTGCCCTGATCCTGGTTACCCCAGGACTTCAGCCTATTGGATCAGGGGCTCACCACCTGGGATCAGGCTCCTCTTGAGCCATGCATTACTACCAGGCTGTGGAGCTGGAATTTGCTCTGGTGTATAGTATGAGAAAAGGACCCCGACTTTATTTTAAGAATATAAGTTGTTTCACTTTGTTTTGTTTTGTTTTTAACAAACGTAAAACTCAACTCCTCGATTATAAAGGCAACTAGCAGTTGGCCTGTGTGTGACTTGCATGTCTATTTTTTCCTCAGGAATGTCCTCCCAGAACAAATCTGCAATGCTCAAGAGGATAGTGACTCGACTCTGGAACATCTTCACCTGGAAAACAACTACATTAAAACTAGAGAAATCTCACCCTATGCATTTTCATGCATAAGATCATATTCAAGTATCGTTCTTACACCACAAAAAATCAAGTAATCCCAAGTTTCCTTTGCCATTTATACTGATGCATTTCGCTCCTATCTGGACAGCAGCAGCATTGGCCATTGATAATCCCGTTATACTTAGTGTCATTATGCTCGCCAGTCTGATTCACCAACCCACACGTGAACAACCAGAAGTGCACCTACGAGGTGTGTCCCAGGAGTCCTGGCAAAGTGAGAACCTCCAGTGTCCCACCTATGAAAAGAAGCTCTCTCACCAGGATAGGTTATACAGGCTTACCTAGGCACAGGGACTCTGGCACAAGTATATTCTCTACCATCAACCTGAGTCCTTCTGTAGGTTGAGAATTTGCTCAGTCCTTTTTAAAATGATCTATTATGGCTTCAGACCAAGGAGTGTACTGGCAGGAAAAAAGCCCAGAATTTATAAACTGGTGTTATTATTCTGTTAAAGCAATAATGGGACTGGTGGTTGGTGTAATGGTTATGTCACTGGACTCCCCCATGTAGTTGACCGCAGTTTGAGTCTCGGACCTGGTGGCTTAAACTCATGCCGGGCATGTGTGCATGCGTGTCAAAGATCCCGAGAGGAGAATGGAGGAGAAGGGATTGCAGTGTGGCCATACCCCTTGGAGGGTGATTTCTTGCTTTCTGTCTCTCTGTCTCTCTCTGTCTGTCTGGCGAGCACACACGCCCTATAGCAAAAACCTCTTCAAAAAAAAAAAAAAAAAAAAAGGCAACGTGTTACTTTTCGGTAAGAACTCCAGCTGTAATTATTGGTACAAATGTATGTTAAGCACTGAGTTAGCTTTACTTCCCTTTATTAATTGCATGTGTGACATTAGACCACCACTGTAATGCTGATTTCCCGCTAACATTAGGAAAGCCATCAGAAAACGGTATGTGAATTCTTTACTCTTGAAACTTTTTTGTAAGTCTAAAAATTCATTTCTTAAAGAGTATTTTATGATCATCTTCATTATTCTTTATTCAAGATTAAAAAATTTTCTGGAAAGCAGTGGAGTTTGCTAAAAATATAAATTAATTTTTCTTACTATGTTGTAAATCTCAACCTAACATGAATCTTCGTTCCCTGGCCACAGTCAGCACCATCTCCTTCGCTTTAACTGAAATGCACCATTTTCAGTTCAACGAAACATAAAGCTATCAAGTGACAACTATGTACTGGCCCTACCACAAAACCACATATTAAAATCTGCATTACAAGGGACCAGCAGTTAGCATAATGGCTATGTTGCTGGACTCCCACATAGTCGACCGCGGTTCGAGTCCTGGACCCAGTGGCTTAAACTCATGCCAGGCGTGTGTGCGTGCGTGCCCAAGATCTTGAGAAGAGAAAGGAGGAGAAGGAATTGCGGCGTGGCCATCCCCCCTGGGGGGTGATTTCTTGCTTTCTGTCTCTCTGTCTCTCTCTGTCTGTCTGGCGAGCACACACGCCCTATAGCAAAAACCTCTTCAAAAAAAAAAAAACAAAATCTGCATTACATAATGACCTTTTACCCCTGTGTTGCTAAAATCATTTGTAATGGGAACCAGCAGTTAGCATAATGGCTATGTCACTGGATTCCCATGCAGTCGATCATAGTTCAAGTTCTGGACCTAGTGGCTTAAATTCATGCCGGGTGTGTGTGTGTGTGTGTGTGTGTGTGTGTGCGCGCGAGATCCCGAGAGGAGAATGGAGGAGACAAGATCCCGAGAGGAGAATGGAGGAGAAGGGATTGTGATGTGGCCATCTTCCCTGGGGGGTGATTTCTTGCTTTCTGTCTCTGTCTCTCTCTGGTGAGCATATGTGCCCAATAGCAGAAACCTCTCCAAAAAAAAAATAATCATTTGTAAGGCACAAAGAGAAATACTGCAGACTTCTTTGTTCGTCTCAGTTTCGTGACTTGGAAAAACACCCAACTAAGGAACTTGGCTCCAGTCTCAGCCTTGCTGGCAGGCTACTCTAATTTTTCTCTAACAGTATCAGGTATTTTTCTATAACAGTATCCTCATGGCCCTAGGGACCATCACATACATCCCACTCTGCAGTGCTACTGTGAGAACTAGCGAGGGGCAGGAAGCACCTGGGGCAGCGACGGTGCACACCAGCAGTACTTTCTATCCCAGGACCGCATGTGAAACGGAGGAGGCAGGGTATTCATCCACATTGGGCAATTTCATGGGTAACTTATTCAAGGTGTGAATGCTGAACTCACTCCATTTGAGCTAATATTATTTCTGATCCCATTTCTAGATTCTCTTAAATCTGATGTTAGACTCAGGGTCAAAGAAGCAGAGCAGGTGATTAAGAACAGAAATAGAATCTTAGAACAAAAATTGAGATTCATAATCTGTTTAGGAAAGCAGGTGCATTGCTAATTTAAACTGGTCATGTTGAATTTAAGAGGCAGGTAAAAACAAGAAGAAAAAATTATATATCAGTTTAACAAGAGCCCTGTACAATACTTCCTACTGTGTGGATTTAAATGCATCAACATAAATGGCTTAAAGTGATACAAGCCATAAACAAAATTAGTGTCAAAGGGAGCTCAGACGGAGTAAGGTGGGTCAACAGAACTGGCACCCTTGGGTCCCAGTGGTCGGCAAATGCTCTTTCTACAAGAAAGGGACAGCACTGTGGACACACAGACCTCCCTATGGGTAGGTAGGTTACAATGTTGAGGCCCAGCGTGGCGAGGTGATGGCATACGGAAGTGACAGGAAGGCGGCAGTGCGGTCTGACCTTAGCCTGCATCCATCACGCTGATGTCTGTACCCCTGCTGGACCAACTGCCTCTCTGTGGGTCTGGGAAGCCTGAGCAGATTGCTGTTCATACAGGGTCCAGGCTAGGCAGGTGACGTTCACTGTCTGGGTGCGCGGTGTGGCTGGTGCTGCAGCAGGGTGGAAGGTGTCGGAATGTCTCCTTGAGCTGGCATCGTCAAACAGCTCGAGCACGTCTCAGGAGTTGTCCTTAGTATGTCAGAGCTAATTACTCCTCTAGCTGACTGACTGTGTTCAGTTTTCATTACAATGGAAAACCCACTCCCTGCACCGTGCAGCTGGAAGCTGTACAGGCACCACAGCCCTGGTTGGCACAGGCCCTCGAGGGATGAGGAGTCCCATTCACTTGTTTCCATAACCATTTAGTAATACCTACAGGGCAAACCTTTACATTCACTTGGAAGTGCTAATAAATTATGATAAAACTTGTTTTAAGTTTACTTTAGATTTAGCAAGAATGAAAATTGAAACCATGGGTTATAAGCATACAGCTAAAGGGTAAACCCCTAATTTTTACTAGTACCATCCTTTGTGTTTAGTATCATTCTTAGGCAAAATGGTTTCCCTGAATTGACGCACTTAGATGGAGGGTAACAAAAGACATATGTGACATGATATGGGACATAATCAATATGAAATTACACAGCACGCACATATAGTTGCAA